GTAACTATAATTAGAGTAGGAAGAAGAGTCGTTCCAAGGAAAATGTTATATTTCTTATTCTATTGAAATCTCTTAAAATGATATCGGTATTCATAATCGACATGAAAACTTTCCTATGAAATGAAGCTTTAAAAACTTGGAAAGTTGGTTATTTGATCTCTAATTCGAAGGTGAATCCGAATTGATAATTAATAAATTGATGGAGACATATTTGGAAGATAGGGAAGCTCAGAAAAGTTACTTATAGGGCCAGCGCATGCCGAATATACACCTTTTTATGGCATTCAAAAAATACTCACCCTGACAAGTTCAATTTTCTTGAATGACTCTAGCATGGTACAGTGCTTCAGGCAATTAGTCCAATATTTTTTCTTGCGTTAAAAATTTTGGATTAATTAGATAAAACTACATAAAAAAAAATTAACTATATTATAATTAAAGATCAATAAATCAAAAGTTGGTATATGGTTTGATCAAAAATTAAGATTTATGATTTAACTGATTGTTAAAATTTTTTCACAAGGTATTAAAAAACAAAAGAAATTAATAAAGCAATGAAATGCCATTTGGATCTTTTTTTCTTGTAAATTATTGATTTAATTTATGGTTTTATGGTTGAAAAGCTGGCCGAAAGTTGAATAAGATAACAAACATGACATGTTTTAAAGAAAAAAGTTAAAGATACCAAAGATGATATACGATATATGTTTTGATACTTAAATCAATACGTTAATTGAAGAAAGATGGAATAAGAGAGGAAAAAGAAGAGAAGGAAAATAGATATATGATTAGAGGAAAAAAAGAGAGTAGAGTTGAAAATATGTCACTGCCCAATTTGATTCTACTTTTATACCCTATAAATAATGACGTTATTGATTGACTTGTCAGATATTAAATCTACTAAAATGATAATCAGTGGCGGTCAAGGTATAATATAAATATAACCTATAAATAACTCACAACTCAAATATAATCATATCTATTATCATATAAACAAGCCATTCTTTACTTTATGCCTTGTAAGATGGTCCATTTATAAGTTGCAGCGGTGGAAACAAGTCAATTGTGCTAAAGTGGTGAAATCACTATTTTGCCAAATGCCAACTAATGAACCTGATCAAGTATTTTTATCCTTTACATTTTACTGAAAATCTTAGACCCATTAATTTTTTATAAGGGTTTAAATTCAATTCTTTGAGTAATGAAATATATGGTATATACATTTTATCATTAAATAAATAAAATATTGAAGTTAAAATAATGAAACTTTTGGAAGATACTTAGTCGAACAGATAAATAATTATTTCTCTAAAAAGTCTTGAAAAATAAGACCACAACATGTCATCACTCATTATATTGACATAGAAACATACTATTTTGTTCGAATTTAATGATACGAATTTCAATCTAACTAAATTAAAATTGTAATTAACATTCACCTCTATCATTTTTACTAGAATGTTAAAGTAAAATTTTATTGTTTAAAATAGTTGAACTATGAAATATTATGATTGTTTTAGTATAATATCATTTGTAAACAATGAAGACTATGAAATATATAATATTCTTTTTATTTATTAGATAAATAAAATAAGTAAAACTAAATTTATATCTTTTTTACTATTCACTTGTTAATATTTTACCCTTTTTCTTAATTCTTAAAAATTTTTTGTTATTACTTTTGTAAATTTTCATGAAATATCATTATATCTCATGCTCCATTGATATATTGTGAGCTTACCAAATTTCATTTGTAAGCATAACCGTAATGGAGCACATGCAATGCCAACCAGTTAAAATCTATATAAACGTCTCTCGTACAATAGAAATTAGAGCCACCAAGATTTCCATCTACATACTTTCTTATTGCAAACAAAAGGAAAAGGAAAGCAAAGAAAAATGGAGGAAAGAGGAGCATAGTCGGTCTTTATGGTTTGTTTGGTATTTGGGATTCTAGTTGGGCAGTCCATAGCTCAACTAGGTCCTATAGCCTTGTCCTACGTGAATTGTTTCATTCCGTGCGCCATTCAATACGAAGGTAGATTTTGGGCTGTCAACTGCTTCAAGGACTGAATCCTTCCCTCCGATTCTACTGTGAGCACTATCCAAGACACCCAAGCCTTCTGCAGGCTTGGTTGTGCTACCGCATTGTGCTCAGATATCAGCACCAAAGAAAATCCTGGTAACTATTTATTTTCTCTCCCCCTTTTAAGTAGACACAAGAATAAACTCAATTTTTTTAATCATTTGGTTTAAATTCCTTAGCGGAGGAGAAAGTTGGATGGTGTTTGGATGATTGCTCAAAGAAATGCGCCGGAAACAACTGATCAATTACCAGATAAGAGATCGTTCGTGAATGAATAAAACCCTATTGAATATATTTGAGTTAATCCCAATTAATGTATTTAAAATAATGACACTATGTCAAAATTATGTTAACAGCTGCTGCTCCTTCCCTCCTCTGTGAAGGAATGAATGAATAAAGCCTGTCAAATATTCGGGTTAATCTGAATGTAAAAATATCGGGGCTATAACTTCTGTTTATATAATAAATATGACTCTATGTCACCAAAGACTAATGATTTGTCTGCTTTCCACTGATGATTTGTTATTTGGAGGGTCAGACTCATGTTCCCAAATTTAAATTTCGTTGTCATTAATCATGCATAAAGTTCTGTAAGAATTTCATAGCGTGCTATAAACAAAAGCTTGGTGACTAAATCATAGGAAAAAGATAGTAGCAAGTTGGAGAAAATGGGGCATTCAAAACGTATGGTTACCAGACACCGCTTCCAGGCTACGTCACGTAATGTGCATGGTTTTATGTTCTCCTGTGGATCGGTAGTTCTACAGGTTACTGGTAGCCCGTCGGGTGTCACGGTTCGCATCAATCCTTAATATATATATATATATATATATATATAATATATATATATATATATATTGCCAAATCCGTAAGATAGTTTAGAGTTGGCATTTTGGCATATGACTTGGTTGCAGTTGCTTGTGTATGCTATGTTTTGATCCTCAAGCCTGGTTTAGATCACTTTGAAATCTAAACTCTCTGTTTCTTTTTTCTTGCATGTTTGTTTTTCTGGTTTGTACGGAGATTTTTAATGATTTATATCATTTTTAACAAAAAAATTAAAGGCATATTTAAATATAAAATCTTTAAAAATTTGAATAGGATAGAGTATACTCAATATGTCCCACTTGGAGTGACTGAGAGAGCATTAAATAAAATTTGACAAAATCTCCGTGATACAAACAAGCACATTTAAGACAATTATTATTATTATTATTATTATTATTATTATTATTAAAAAGTTATTAATCGTATTTCGTGTGACATATTTTCTTTGAAATTTCACACTTTTTTTATTTTATTTTGTATTTTACTAGTACAATATTTCAATCAATGCCTAAAGATTACTGTCATCCCAAAGCATTCTTGGTAAGACATTTACAAAATCAAAGCACAATATTGTGGCAAGTGCGTTTAATTGAATTTCTGTGGGCAATTAATTTATGTTTTTAAGATTAATTAATCGGGATATTTTGGATAATTGGCGGTCAAAATTTTTATCGGTTGATACAAAACCGTCTGTTTTTGTGCTTTGGGCTACTGAACAGTTTAGTTCATATATATCTATTTTAGGGCAATTAATGAATCTTTGACATTGCTAACTTAACTCCATTTTTATTTGTAAGTAATCGTAGTGGAGCACATTTCTACCATACACAGTTATATATGATAATTTAAATTATGATATGATAATATAATATGAACATAATACAAAAATATATATATATATAAATTATAAAATTTAAAATTTTAATAATAATTATGTATATGATTTAATAAAATTAAAAAATATATTTTATATTTTTATATTGATAAGAATTACGGGTAATTAATACATTTTTATTTTGAATTTTAAAAATCAGAATCAATAGTATTTGCCCATTAAATATGTCCACTTGAAATTAGAAGTGGAAGAGGATTCAGTAAAAATTGACAAAACACCACCAGCATATATACGAGCATAATTAAGCCCATTAGTATATTAAAATATATATTCTAATCTTATTTTGTGGCATGTATCATTATCCACCAGAATTGGCATGTATTATTGTCGAAATAAAACACAACTACATGATGCATCATATAAAATTAAAAAAAACACAAATTCATTTCTTAATGAAGACAAAACACTAATATATTAATTCAATGTAATAAAAAAAAATACGTAAAATAAAGTGGAACAAAAGGGCAATGAGTTGCCTACATTTTTTTTTCATTTATTAAATTAAAATAAACTCAATTATTCACAAATTAAAATCATTAACGGGGTTTATTTAAGTTAATATAATGTATGTAATGCCACTTTGATCCATTGGTGGGCTTATTGGTGATTATAGTCTTGTTTAAGTGGTGAAAATGAAATCATTATTTTAGCAATCAAATTAATGCAAAACCCATTTATAAATGGTGGTGAAAATGAAATTATTATTTTGGCAATCAATTAACATAAAACCCATTATACCCATTTATAAATTTTTGTTCGAATTATAATTATTTCATACACCAGCAATGATTTCAAAAACTCTACAAAACATATATATATATATATAGATATATTTGCTGTCTTTATATATTCAATTTAATTACAAATAAGGAAGATGATGTTGAATTAAAAATCCGATTAGAGCATTAAAAAGAAATGGAATATTTTATTTATGTTTATGGAATTAAAAAATTTTATCATGGCTATATTGGATAATAATCATTAGCATATATTTAGAATGGGAGAACATAATTGGTCATATCCTAAAAGGAAGATTTTGGCATTGTTTTACTTCAAAAAAAGAATTAATTTTTTTTCTAGTTGTTTTAGACTTGGATAAATTTTCTACTTATTTTGAACTTTGATAATTGGCTTTTGCCTATGTCATCCCAATGTTGAATTAGACCAATCAGTTTCTCTCAATAAAGCAAATTCAAACCAATCAATTTCAATCCTTGGCATTGTGTTATGGATTTCTTTAATATTGCCAACTTAACTTGATTTTCATTTGTAAGCATAAATGAAGTGGAGCGCAATGTAGTTACCATTTAAAATCTATATAAACCTCTCTCAAATTTCTTTCTATATATATATCAATCTTCTAAGTCTTGCAGCAAACAAAAGAAAAAGGAAAGGAAAGGAAAATGGAGAAAAGAGGAGTCTCACTGATCTTGATGGTCTGTTTGGTGATGAGCACTCTAGTAGAGCAATCCAGAGCTCAAGGTGGAATTGTGATCCCCATAGGAATCTGCTTTGGGGCCTGCTTTGTTCCATGCGTTCTTCAATCTGGAACAACAGCTGCCTCTTGCGCTATCGATTGCATTAAGAACTGTCTCTCCAAATCTACTGCGGGCGGTGTCAAAGACACCCAATACTTCTGCAACCTTGGTTGTTCTACCGCCTTGTGCTCAAGTTTCAGCACCAAAGAAAACCCTGGTAATTTCTTTTTCCTCTCTACTTTTGGAAACATACAGACACAAGATCAACAAACTCAAGGTTTTGTTTTGCTTTTTTTGTTTATATTAATTCCATAGCTGCAAAGAAAGTTGGAAGCTGTATGGAATCTTGCTCAGCAACATGCGCCAAGAAGAACTGATCAATTCCCATATAAGAGATCGTTCATGAATGAATAAAGAACATGGCCTGTTCAGTGATTTGGGATTTAATCCCAATTAATGTATTTAAAATAATGACTGTATGTATGTCAAAATCCTTAGCTGCTGCTACTCATTCTCTCAATGTGGGAATGAATTAATGACGCTTCTTAAATATTTTGGTTAATATGAATGTAAAATATTTGGTTGGGCTATATATATATATATGTGTGTATGTATGTATATATGTAATTGAATAAGTTCAGTAAAATATCTTAAAAAATTTGAGATAATCATTAACCGTATTTATTTTATATTTATTTTATATTATATGCCACCTGCATATCACGAGGTTGGGTGCGGGAGAATGTCACGAACCTAAGGGGGAGTCCTGAATCCCACATCGAACATAATAGGAAGGTCCCTGGGGTATAAAAGGGTTCACACCATCTCCGCCTTGTGAGGCGCCTTTTGTAGGACAAAACCGTGAGGCCAGGGGGGCCAGAGCGGACAATACCTCACAAGGGTGTGAACCGTGGCGGTCAGGCTGATTCGGGACGCCGGAAGGGTGAATGCCCGGGTCTCGGAGCCGCGCGGGTTCGGAGCTTAAGTCTCGACCCGTGACAAGTGGTATCAGAGCCAGCCCTAAACCGTTCGATCCACGCCGAGCGCCTCGAGGGAGGTAGGCAGGGTGGCCGGCCTCCGTGACGAGGGCGTCACGAGGTTGGGTGCGGGAGAATGTCACGGACCTAAGGGGGAGTCCTGAATCCCACATCGAACATAATAGGAAGGTCACTGGGGTATAAAAGGGTTCACACCATCTCCGCCTTGTGAGGCGCCTTTTGTAGGACAAAACCGTGAGGCCAGGGGGGCCAGAGCGGACAATACCTCACAAGGGTGTGAACCGTGGCGGTCAGGCTGATTCGGGACGCCGGAAGGGTGAATGCCCGGGTCTCGGAGCCGCGCGGGTTCGGAGCTTAAGTCTCGACCCGTGACACATATACCATATTTATCATTTACTTTATTACACAATTACAACAAGTGATTTTAGATAAAATGTCTATTTTTATATATTACCATTCCATGTTACAAATTATTCCGTTCTATTAAGGATAAAACATATTCAGTAAAATTATTTTTAAAAATTGATCAAAATTTATTTAATATTTGATTGATTAATTAAATTAAAGAGATTTGATTTATTAACTCAATTAAAATCAAATTCACCTCCATAGATTATAGTGACTATTTGTGTAACAACAGACAAACCCCCAACCCACGATATAAGCTCATTTAAACCCACCCCAACCCATGATTTAAGCCCACTTAAACCCATTACTTCCTCCTCCTTAAAATGTTTGTCATGTATTATTTTCATGAAATTTAAAAATAAGTTTTTTATTTTAATGTATTTAATATTAAATTTAATTTTTTTATAAAATTAAAATTTTATGATTTTTAATGCTAAAAAGTTAAAATATAATTTTAAAATGTAAAAAAATAAAAGTTTTAAATATTCTAAAAAAATAGTTTATAATTTTGAGATATCCAAAAAAAAAAAATTGAATAACAAAAATGAGACAGAGGGAGTATTACATTAAAAATTTTCTTTGTCTCATTTTCTGTGACAATTTTTTGTTAGACATTTCAAATTTTCAATAATATCTTTTTAATTTCACATATGATAATATCTTTTTAATAAACTCATACTATTGTCTTTTTATATAAAAAAAACTCTTATAATACTTCAAATAAATATAAAAATAAATTGTTATTATAAAAATATAGTTTAAGGTTTTTTATATAAAAAGATTTTCTTTTTTTTTTTTTGGCCAGTATATATTTTATTAATATTTCACCAGGAATACAAAAGATAAAAAGACAAGCAACAATGGTAGCAGCAACAATGCCTCATCAAAACATCAGGATTGCTTTACCTATTAATATGGGATGCCACTTTGATCCATTAGTGAAATTATGAGTGATTATAGTCAAGTTGTACTAAAGTGGTAGAACCATTATTTTGGCAACTAAAACAAACCCACTATCCATTTATATATCTTTATTTGAATTATTAATTTATACGTAGGTTGTAAACTTCAAAAATTTCACAAACATAAATTGATTAAAACCCTAAAAATAATTAGTTAAAGAGTTCGTTTTAACATACTTTCAGTAAATTCTTTTAATATCACAAAATGAAATTAAAAGATTAATAGTTGCATAAGCAAAGTTTGAAGAGTTTTATAAAACTATCTTTTGTGTTTCTTATTTGGAGAAATTAGGGAAATAATGGAAGGAATGAAGTCGTGAAGCATATCTAGAAAGAAGATTTTGAATGTTTTACTTCTTAAAAAGAATTAATTATTCTACTTATTTTAATCTTTGATATTTGGCTTTTGCCTATTCCATTGAATTAGACCAATCAGATACTGTTTTTCTGGATTAAGGTAATCCAGACCAATCTGTTTCAATCCTCGGCATTGTGATAGATTTCTTTAATATTGCCAACTTAACTGGATTTCAATTTGTAAGCATAAATAAGTGGAGCATGATTTCTAGTTTTCCACCACATACACTTATAATTTTTTTTTTTTTTTGTTAATACTTGAAATTATCAAAAATTGAATTTTGATCGTTAAAATTAAGAATTTAGCACTTTAACAATGATGACCACATAATGGCTTAGGTTACCACTTAAAGTCTATATATAAGCCTCTCTCGTACAACAGAAAGAGGCACCAAGATTTCTATCTATATATCTTGTTATTGTAAAAGGAAAGGAAACAAAAATGGAGAAAAGAGGAGTTTCATCGGTCTTGATGGTTTGTTTGGTGTTGGGAATTCTAGTAGGACAGTTCAAAGCTCAAATAATTGGCCCTGCAGTCTGCTATGGGGATTGCTATGTTCCTTGCATTCTTCGATATGAAACCACAGCTGGCTCTTGCGCTATCGAATGCTTCAAGAACTGCATCCTTCCCAATCAACTGTGGGCACTATCCAAGACACCCAATCCTTCTGCAAGCTTGGTTGTGCTACCGCCTTGTGCTCAAATCTCAGCACCAAAGAAAACCCTGATAATCTTTTTTTTTCTCTCCATTATAAATAAATACCATTAACAGTAAACTCAAGGTTTTGTTTTACTTTTTTTTTTGTTTAAATTCCATAACTGAAAAGAAAGTTGGAAGTTGTTTGGATGCTTGCTTAGCGACATGCGCCAAGAAGAACTGATCAATTCCCATATAAGAGATGGTCAATGAATAAAGCCCTGTTGGGTTAATCCCAATGTTTTATTTAAACTAATGATACTACGTCAGAATCTTAACAGCTGCTACTCCTTTCCTCTTCTGTGAGGGAATGAATGAATCAATGAAGCTTATTAAATATTTGGTTAATCTGAATGTAAAACATTTTGCTATATTTTCATCAGTTCAAAGTAACGACTCTTCTGCAACTCAAGCAATAACGAACAACAATTAATTATTTGTTTGCCCATATATGTGATATGGACGTATATGTTTCCACAAATGGGATTGTTCGTTGGATGGATGGTTGGGAAAGTTTCAAATTTCTTACGTAAATTAATCATCAAGTTTTGAACAAAGCTCATATAAACTATGCCATTAGCATGTCAGACAAAGTGAGACATGCACTTTTTTTTAGTTGAGTTAAATTTTATTTATTCAAAGAAACAGGAGTTAGCCTACTACGAAAGGATGTACTTTTTACAGAATAAATAAACAAAATAGTCAACTACTCCCTTCCTTTCAAAACTGTTGGCTAGTTTGAATAAGCTGCAAAAGATAAAGAATGTAAAAAGGGCACGTCATTAACAGCATCATGATAATATTGCATACAATACATATCCGAAAATATTAAAACAAAGATTTAAATATATATAAAGTCTTTAAATTATAATTAATTAAAATTTTTATTTTTTATTACAATCAATTGAATTTTTAAAACATTTATTTACAGTCACTTAAATTACAAAATATCACTGTTAATCTCCTCATAGAAATTGACATTAGAAAATGAAAAAAAAAATTTGCTTTATTTTGATGTGTTTCTTTTCTTTCTTCATAAATACCACACGATAAAATCCAATTGGTATGTCACATAATTTTTATGAGAAAATCTACCCGTGTTAGCTGTGTGATAATTTTTATCTAAAATAAGAATTTAATTAATTGTAAATAAATGTTTAAAAATTTAATTGATTATAATTAAAAATATTTTGAATAATTTTTAATTATACTTTTAAGAATTTTTCATATCTAGTATTGTTTTATAAGGGAGTTTTTAAAAACATTACGATGGCAATTTTATTTTAGAGTACATTCGACAGACTATATAACCTTTGTCCAAATGAGAGATACTGCAACTCTGTTTTTGGTACAACAACAATGGAGCGATCATCGATAAATCTATCAGATACAACAACACAACACTGTCTCCGGAATTTGGAATCAGAGGGGAATTAATTAATATAAAGGAAAAGTTTAAGGACTCGTAAAAATATGAAATAGGCTACGCTGCAATTCCACGGATTCAGCCCACATCACAGTCAAACATTGTGCATGTCTTGATACCTTGGTAGCTAATACAGTTGTTTAATTCCAGGATTGACACCAAAAAAAAAAAAAGTCGGAACATTCTCCCGCAGGCTACACAATTTATAACAACCAAAAAGGATTGGATTGGTCTCTGTTGACTCTGCTACATATAAGGGCTTAGGAATAAGCGTATGCAATCAAGATCCTGCTTCCACAAAGAAAAAGGACTAACTGCAAATGGCAAGTTCACGACAGACCAGATTAGGGGAGACACCTTTAAACCTTCTGTGGCTTTAGGAGAATTTTCTGGTGTCTTCAGAACAGCAGTTGTGTTACCTCTGTATGCCATTACAGCCGCACGAAACTCTTCGACTATGGAAGCATCCTTGAACTTCAATGCAAATGTAGACAGCCCCTCTTTTTCTTCACCTGTACTATTCACGCAGGCAAATGTAATACCTCTCTTATCCATGTTTGTCAGCTTCATATCTGGGTAAAGACTTGCATTTAAAAGCAATCTGTAATTTCCTCTAGCTCTCATTAGCACCCTGGCTCTTTTTGCCCCCATTGTAGAGACATTCACCTTAAGTTCTCCCTTCCCACGCTCTTTCCACCCTCCATCTATGAATTCGAACAGCACAGAATCAGATGTGAAAACCACTTTCTCATTCTCTTCTCCCGTCTCAACTGGAACCTCCTGCATGGCTGGAAAACCACTTCCCTCGCTGTTAGAAACAATTGAAGTCCCTGATGTGTTGAAGAGGGAAGAGTTTCCATTTGTTGAAAGACCAAAACCAAAAGAAGGCTGATCATTTTTCTGTCCAAAAAGTGGAAAAGCACCAGTAGCACCATCCTTCGTAGTAGATCCAAAGGAGAATGCAGAAGTAGAAAATCCAGTGCCAGCAAGTCCTGTGAAGGCATTCTGGCTACTTGAAAGCTGTTGGAATGAACTCAATGATCCACCTTCTGCAGCTGAATCTGAATTTTCACTACTCTTATCTTTGTTACCTGCATTTGCAGTCTTGTCATCTTTCTTATCTTAATCCTCGGTCTTAGCACCTCCTGCTGGTTTTTCATCATTTGCCTCCTTTTGAGTTCCTTCATTTACAACATCACTGCTCATATCCTCAGCAGTTTCCTTATTAGCAACACCGTCAGAAACTGGCTCATCCTTCCTACTTTCGTCATTCTTTGCAAGCTCTGGCTCCGTTTCATCTGTTTTTTTCTCTGACTGCTGATTATTTCCATCTTCATTCTTTTCAGATTTTTTAACGTCATTTTTCCCATCTTCTGAAACTTCTTTCTCACTGGCAATAGGTGCTTCAGTTGTAATCTCAGTGGTCGTTGCGCTGGATTCAGGGGTTGCACTAGCTGTAGCTGGAGTAATGGTTGGTTCTGTACGGGGAACCAAGCGAATTCCAGAAAAAGGATTGGATGAGGCAGTTGAAGTGGTTTGATTTCTACGAACTTTGACTATTCTTCTGTTTGCCAAAACTTCTTCACTAGCCTTCTTAAAAGTTCCAGTTTCTTGTTCACAAGAATCTTCCTCATCATCAAGACCAGGGTTATCCCGAGAAATTTCTCTTCCAGCAGCCCTCTTCTTTGAAGGTGGAAGGGCATTTTCTGCATCCCCCATTGCAGCAAGAAACCAAGAAACTGAAACTTGAGGACTTTCTTGTGCAAACTAGGATATCTGCAGATCATTGGAAATGATATATCCAATGAAATTATCAGAAACAAATTAACATGAATCTTGCCACTAGAGTTTCACCAAACCATAAAACTGAACAGTGGGAAATATGTAGGAACAGTTGCAAGAACACAGCCCATAAATAATAAAATAGATTCACAACAGGCAGACACTCATCACCAAATTTATGTGATAGCAACAGATATTTACCAGAAAAAAAAACACACAACCTACACCAGATTTCCATAAAAATCTCATTAAAACATATGAACACAGCATAGTGCATGGTGCCCAAGAGGAAAATAGCACATTACAACAAACATAAGTTCACAGAAGCTTAAATTTTTCTTGCAACTGGTGATATCTGAAGACCACAATAAATGTTATTACTAATGGAACAATCACCAATCAAATGGAAAGAACGTACTCAGCTAACTACTAACTTTTTTCTTCAAATTACAATGAGCAAATAAGAGAGCTATGGGAAATACACATGAGAACAGCTACATAAACTTAGCAGATATAGAGTAAAAAAACCAGATGAGTCTGCAACAATCCACTAAATGTTCGGAATATAAAAAGTTATTATAAGGAAATGAGACATATATCCAAAGTTCCCTTGTAGATCACATTTAAACCCACAGAAGCATCATTGCGCACAGACAATGAACAAAATAATTATTATAATGAACAAACTGCATAATCGGTAAACCCATGGATACTTATGATTTAAGTTTGAACTATTTTAATGGTTTACTAATAAGGCTGATTAATGAAATCAAAACCAATATGTCCTTCCTGTAGGGAAAACATTCAAGCATAGGTTCAGGTATAGCTACTATCTTTCTACAACTTTATCCAAAGCAGCAGGCAACTTGCCTTGATAGAACAAATTTGTTGTCTCAAACCATATGCAATCAATTTCACATCTCTAACAGCAAACAACTGTACAAGCTGACTTCAACATATAGCAGTCCCTAGTTAATGTTGCCACCACACGGCTGTATACCACATTCAATGGAGAAAACATTGAACCGGAAAGGAAAAAGAAAAGGGCACTAAAATAAGAGGACGAAAGGGGAAATGCAACTGCCCTCCTCAAAAGATCAAAATGCTCCCACACATCATCTAACAATAGCACAAATCTTTTCGTTTTCAACACCCTGAAGATGGAATTGCTTTTCTCTTCTTGGCTCATCCTACTCCATCTCTCATCAGGGAAGCCTAGTTTTCGGCCAATTGTAGCCTGCACCTTTTCCATGTTTAGATCCCTTGACACCACGGCCCAAATCACCACATCAAAATCTTGACCAACTCTGCCAATTAGTTCATTGTTGATTTTGCGCAAGAGGGTGGTTTTGCCCACACCCCCCATACCATATATTCCAATGATTCCCACTCGTTGATCACAAAGGTAGCTCCAAACCTCCCTGAAATTTAAATCCATGCCCACAGTGTCCTCGAGGGGCATTTCATCCACCAAGGGCGGGGGCAACATGTCAGCCACATCAACAAAACTTAGTTCTGTTCTCAACTCAGAAATAGCTTTCAATTTTTTTGATACTTGCTTCCCGAGGTTGTAACTAGACTTCAATCTTTTGGGAGAAAAGTTGCAGAAACATCTTTGCTGAGCCTCCCTTTCTCCTTCCCTCACAACCATGTCAATTTCAGCTTCTAGTTCTTCTACTCGCCGTAACCATCCTTCGACTTGCACCCTAGGCCGCATTTGTTGCCGCTCAGCATTTTCTACTCTTGTCTTCACATCGTTCCTTTGCTCTCTAAGCTTTTCTGTATCTCTTTTCAAAGATCTTATAAGCCTTTCGGGATGACAGATCGAGATACGGTACTCTCTGTTTCCTTCGCTGCAATCCCGCAAACAAGAGATTACCTCTAAGACTAGGCTTGCAATTTCCATTGCAGATAATTAAGAGGCGGTTTCAGGAAGAAAAATGAATCGAAAGATCTAGCCTGCAGCGAAGATTGAGCTTGGTCTAAATCTCACACACACATGAATGTATACATAGAGAGGAGGGATACGAAGTGGAAATGAGAAATGATTTTAAAGGTGAAGGATAAATGATATATATAGACATACATATATATATATATATATTTATGGAGTTAGAGGATGAAAATATATATATATATATATAATACAACTAATAATTTTTATATAAGAATAAAAATTTTGATGTAAAATAAAAAAATTAAAAAAAAACTAAAGATCAATGTGTAACTATAATAAAATTTTAAGAAGATTTTGTAATAAAATTATTTACCATATTTACATCAGGATATGAATTGAGTACCATAATTAGTATAAGTTTATAAAGATAATAAGTCATCCCAACTTTATTTAAAACTCTTTTTTGGTAAGCATATACTGTTATCTCTTACATATAAAGAATGCATTATGACTAAAATTTAATAATTTTGATCTTAAAAAAACTCTTAGAACTATATAAAAGCATGAACCGTACGTGAAAACAATTTTCTACTTATGGTTGATTGTATTATTTTAATAAAAAAAACAATTAAGCAATAGATTAAGTTTTGGACAATGTCATGTTTAAAACACTAAAGTAGAAACAAATGCAATTCAAGCTAATTAAACCAAGAAAGAAATAGAGACAAATCTTGAAAAGAAAAACATGATATATAATTGTAATATTAATCAAGACAAAATTGAACAAAATTATAGTTAATTTGACAATTTTGATCTCTTCTGTAATCAAAATAAAAATATTTATATTATTAAATGTGATCATGATAAATGTAATGTGATTTTAATTCCCTCATAGTGAAGAATGATTCATTAATAACTATTTCAAAGATCACAAAAGCAAATCATACATATATGGGATACAGATTTTTGATATTTTGAATTTAACTTCATCTCGTACATCTTGTCAGTTCATTCAAACTAGCTGAATTGTTTATTTTTTAGCACACCACAACTAAAATTGAGTGTGAGATTAGCAACCAACAAACCTTGTTAGGATCACTTCCAAGCCTGATTTTTAGACTCATGCTTCTTGATGTTAACGAAAGCTACTTTTTTTTCATAAAAAATTAAGTGAATAAAAGAGAAATATTAAAATAATACCAACTAATAAATATGATAAAAGGAAAGCATCTATAAACACAAAAGCAAAAAAAAATTACTTGGTGATCAATATTTAGCATTGTTGTTCCTATAATGAACAATGATTGATAAACTAAAAGAATAATGTAATTTGACAAAAATATAACAATAAAAGAAATCAAAATCAAAATAATTCATTGTCATAAAAAAATTAATATAATTGTATGGACAAAAATTAATATAATTGTATTGACAAAAATTGACCTAATCATAAATCCATACATTTGGAAAGTAACCTCCTAACACTTTTAGCTTACATGATTTATATTTATAGTAAGAATTATAAAGTTTCTTATAAATTGAGAATAATTTATGCAAAGTAATTATAATGGGTTATTAGAAAATACATTTTGAAATAATAAATTATGTTGGTAAATATCTGTGATTGTAATTAATATTTATATAGAAAGAAATATAAAAATATATATTTGCAATTAATTAGACCTTTATTTTAGGTTTGAATTCTTAGCATTATATGACTTATATACTCATTACATAAATTATTTTTTTAATTAAATACTAAAATTATAGATATTAAATAGTCAATGTTTTTAAAGTATATTTTTTATTCATAGTGTTCATATTTAGTGTTTAAAATTAAAAAATTGAAATTATTTGAAAGTGATTTAAGATAATTGAATTGTAACATATTTATAAAAGTAATAATATTTTATATTTATAAGAAAATAAATATACTTAATTTCATCAAAATAAATATCTTTTAAATTAATAAAATTTATATAACAACGAATCAAAATAATTAATGCAAGACAATTGTTCAAAACTTTCTACATATCAAAAGAATAAATCTTCCACATTTAATTTTTTTTCCTTTTTACTAAAAATTTTACCTTTTATATATTTATATAAAATATGACCACTTAGGTAATAACTTTAATGATTCAAGAAGAATAACCCATTTTTTCATTTTTTAATTGCATCCAATCCAAATTCAACACATGCTAATTGTAAATACTTAATTTTATAAACACTTAATTTTATCCATCGTCGATTAAAATGAATCTTAAATTTCATTCATAATTTTGATATTCGAAATTTAATTAGGCATTGTGGTCAAGAATGGACTTGTTCATTGCATATTGGGTTCAATTGACTTTCTTGTCCTAATGTGATCCAGATTCAATTATGGCACAGCACCAGCACATAGCTATCACCTTATCAGATTCTTATTCCCTGTTAGCTGACCTACTCTGCAGAAACCCATCTCCTACTCAACCTTTACACCCTACCCTGCATTTCCCATTGGCTGCAGAAATTAAGGCTTAATTTTTGGGATGTGTTTGAATCACTTCATTAAAACCCAATTGAAATCAATAGGGAAAGGGAGCCTTCTGCCGTTACCACCATTATCACCATCTTTCAACCCATACACCTCCAACTGTACCATTTCTGTCCCACTCTAACCAGCAGCCCCAAAAACCACCACCATCATTCATTCCAAAAACCCATTCATCTAAAAAACCCAGCTAAGACCCCTCACTAGAAGACATCCCTCACCACCACCTAAAAAAGACCAAAACCAAACTCAAGACCCACCCAACCGTATATCAAGTAACCCACAGCCCCTTAACAGAAAAACTCAAAAGAAGAAAACACAAAAATAATCACACATCCCCTAGAACGGGAAGAAATAGTGCTAAAAGCAAAAAACAAAAAAATAAAATAAAATCACCAAAACGAAGGGAGAGGTTTTCGTTTGGGCATTTTAAAAGGTTTTGAGGCCTGAAATTTGGTGGGAAGGATAGCAAGAAAGGGAGAGAAAAATAAGACAAATCGACGGTGATAAGCGCGAAAAAAAGTGTTTTAAGAGGCGGAAGTAACGATATTTCGACTCAGATCTAGGCCGTTTGGGATTGTTTTAGGCTAAATAGAGGTCGAAACAGTTACGAGGGGGGGAAAAGGTCATTCTTGAAGATTTTGAGCTCCAGTTGGCATTGGCGACCGGAGGCCGATGATAGCAAACGATGGCCGACGCGGTGGCCGAAAATTGGGTTGGCTTTGAAGGTCGCCAATAGTTTTTGAATCTCGAGAGAGTTTTTGGAAAATTTTTATAGAGAAATGTCTGAAATGAATTGGATAAAAAAGTTTGGCTGTACTAAGCTTTAAAAAAAAAAAACTCACCAGGATCCCTCATTTACTTGTTTTTTTCAAATTCAAAACAAAAAAATCAATAATAAAATACTTTTTTTAGGTAAGGTTACATATAATTATGTATGAATATTAATTGTATTAATTAATTAAAAATATAAATATTTGAAGATGAAATTTTTAAAAAAATTTGAGTAATAATTCTTAATAAATTTGTAACTGATAAATTTTTTTTTAATATTACGACATATTAGAATATTTTGAAAATTTTTTCAATACAATACTTTAATTTATTTTTCATATGAAAATGCAATAATAAATTATTAAATAATTTTTTTTAGGAAAATAAAATAAAAATAAAAAACTAAAATTGTGATAAACGATGAGAGTCAAGGTAATTAATATTAAATATCAAGATCATTTTTATTAAGATCAAAGAATAATACGTGATTACTTGATACTATTTTTGGATGGACATTTTAGAGGTGTTAATCTTTTTTTATATGTAATCGTTTTTTTGAACCCAAATTATTTTTTCACACTAAAAAATTAATCTTTTAATAAAGTTTTAATTAATTTTAAAATTTTATTAAAATAATAAATTTTAATAGGTAGACTAAAAAAAGATTAATGATGACTTTTTATTTTTTAAAATTCCTGTAACAGTCTTCAAAATCGTTATGACAACTTAGTTACTTAGTTGGAGATGCAATTTTTTTAGAGTATGGTAAAATTAATTTTATGTTATCCTTAATTTTGATTTAATGATTTTAATCGGTATTTAACTTTAATTTCCTTGATTTTGATTTTATTTTTAATAACAATAGTAATAAAAATAAAAAAAATCTCATGCATTTCATTGTAATTATATCATTTATTTATTTATTATTGTATGTTTTGTATATATTATTCTTAATAAATTATGAGGCTTTTAGGATAAAGATTGCAATGTTATTTTCATCATCTCTCTCTCTCTCACACACAATGACACATTGCATTTCATACATGAGCTCTATATTCAGGCTTTGTCCCTAAAAGAGAAAGCAAAATACCTATACTCTCGTAACGTGAAAACCTTTGGAATGGCAAGTGAAATACTTAATTCAGAGTAAACCCTTTTCATTCATAACATGTGATGGATAAAGATCAAGGTGCTTTTATTATTTTAATATGGATGATAGTAAGAGACAATTTAAGAACTTTTAGATACATAACAATCCAAATCTAGCATATAATAAGCTGAAAGGAGCCAACCCTAGGTAAAAATCATGTTGATCTTTTTGTAAGAAATCACCTGAATTATAACATGTAAGGGATTATATTTCTTGTTGACAACATGTTTTTTTGGATTAATAATAAAACGGTTATATATTACTACCAAAAATTAAACAAAAACTTCACAAAATTTTTTTATTTATTTATTTTAAATTATTATATGTTTGTCAAATTTTTATTTCTTCTATGGGTTTTTTTTTCAAACCAAAACAAAATTACATTTAGAAAAAATTGTAAAAAAAGATTTTTTTAAAGGATAAACTTTTTATCCTTTTTAAAAAAATTCTTTTAATTAGATATTTTCTAAAAGAAAAAAAAAAGTCAAAATCACCAAAATTAAGGAAATGGGCTTTGGTTTGAGGCATTTGGAAAGTTTTTGACACCTAAAAGTTAGTGGGAAGCACAAGCAAGGAAGGGGAGAAAACATAGGAGAAACCGATGACAAATAACACAACAAAAAATGGTGTTTCAAAAGGTGGAAGCCAAGATATTTAAGCTAAGATCTAGGCCGTTTAGGGTTGTTTTAGGCTAAATGGAGATTAGAATAGTGAAAAGGGGG